ATATAAACATTGTATTTATCCTTATTTCTGCGTTAAGAATTTTAGTTATTCGTTTTTTAGTATTAAGGATCTAAAACTGGTCAGAGTGAACATTTCCCTTTCCAAACAGGTAAGTTTCCTAATTATTCGCAAATTTAATAGTAAAAACTTCGGTAGATACACAATACTGAATACATAAGCGACGATTCGAGCTCTCTGATAGCAAGGAGATGAATAGTTCGGTTCCAATTCCTCTGCTGGCGGTTTTATTACAAATTTTTTACAAACACTTCTCGAAACTTTCTTCAACCTTCGCTCGGAATAAAAAAATAATTACTCTCATTTGTATATTATAATTCCACAGTCTTTCTCCCATACGACATAAAGAGTCATTCAGAAGGTTTCATGAAATTTTCCACTTTTCAACAAGTTTTGCATTATAAACAGAAATCCGTTTATTTTGCTGTGTAATAGTTAGTTTTCACGAAAGGCATTTTTGTAACAGTCGCTTTGTACGTTTTCGTTCGAACTTCGACCAGGACCTTGCCGCCGTACTGTGCCAGTTCCGGGGGCACATATCCCATAGCGATTGAACGGCCAAGAGTCGGGCTGGGACCACCGGAAGTGATTTTACCAACGTGTTCACCCTCCGGCGTTAGTATACACGCGCCTTCTCTAGCCGGTGGCCCGTGCATGATCGTCAATCCTATTCGCTTCTTCTTAGCCCCGGACTTAATCTGATAAAGTATCTTCTCTGCCCCCGGGAAATTCTCCTCCGCTCTTCTTCTCTTGGCTAAATAAAAAAGATAATCATATATTTGTAGTAAATTCTCGGCTGTAGATTATATATATATTTTTTTTTGCACTGACCTACGAGCCAAGAGAGTCCAGCTTCGACTGGGGTTATTTCTTCATCGATGTCATGACCATAAAGGCAGAGACCTGCTTCTAATCTAAATAGTCAATTATTTTTATGAATTTTTATGATAGGAAGTGAATATTTAAATATTCTTTCGAAACTGATAAATTTTATTACGATAGAGTGAGAGAAACTTCTAGATCTCGTTTAATGAAATATGAAATGAAGCTTAGCACGTTTTCCTCAGACTCATTTCAGATACGTAACTTAACTTCTATTCTGCTGGTAGATTTCCTAAGTATTTAGTAGAGCAAAATTTCACCTTAGGCTGTCCCTGGCTCCTAAGCCAGCCAATTTCGTATCGGGTGTGCCTAAGATCATTTGTACCAAGATGCAGGCTATTTTCGCCGGCATTGAAATCTCGAAGCCGTCCTCTCCCGTGTATCCGCAGCGAGATATTCTGATCGGACTTCCTAGTATCTCGGTGTTCATACATCTCATAAATTTCAAATTTCTCAAATCGCACTTCACGACTGTTTGAAGGACCGATGCCGCGGTGGGTCCTTGCAAAGCGACGAGGCTTTGCTCCAAGGGATGTAGAAATTCCAGGCTCACCGACTTTCCTTGAATTTTAAAAACATCCTGCGATTCAAAGACAGAATTAATAAGAATAGTTTTTTTTCATTTCTTGAGTAAATCGTATTTTTCTTAAATATTCTCATAGTATACAATTTTGCCAGAAATGCGTAGTATAGTAATCGGGTTTATGTTTACCTGTTGCTGAAGAAGCAGTCGAGAGTCCTCGTCCCTCCTACTGGCATTAGATACGACAAAATATTTGTCGTCATCATCTTTCGTGATAATCAGATCATCGATAATGCCACCATTCTCATTAGTAAACACGGTGAGAACCGCGCTACCCTTTTCTAAGTTCTTTAGATCGCTCGTAGTCAGAGATTCCAGGAAAATGGTAGCATCTTTCCCGGTAACTCGCGTTTGGAGCATGTGTCCGACATCGAATAGCGATGCGAAGGTCCTTGTGTGTACATGGGACGCGGCAATAGCGTCTTGATATTGTACTGGCAGTAACCAGCCGGAAAAATTGACGATTTTACCTGATGACATAATACGACGTACAGCTCTTATTTTATACACCTTATAAAATTAGTTTAGATAAAATAAATTAATAATTAGAGTAAAGACACTTGCGTACACGAAGGTCTTTCATCTCAACCAAGTCTCAATATTATAACGTCATACATATAAATAAAATATGAATAATATAATTCGGAAGCCTATTGTTACCTCGATTCTCCACGTGAAGATCGTACAGGCAGGTTTTCCTTGGTTCCGGCGCGGGCTTCGTCAACGTCGATGACGATCGCCGTTGCTCGGCTTCTCTGTTTGACTGTGCTTTGGCATCGATCAAACGTGTTGTACGTGACTTGGATACGTCGCGTTCTAAACTGAATATATAACTAGACGTTTCGCGGAAACCTCCCAACGTGTCCAGACATTTTTCCAAGCTTTCGGGACAGATTGATCTCCCGCGTACACCGAAACGGAGCATTGTTTTCTCGCGCTTAATCGTCGCGTACTAAAACCCGACTACCGATACAGACCAACGGATCTGTTCGTCTCACGATGACCCTGCTGACACGTGTGTCATCTTTTAGACCGACTCGGGTTTAGTATCGAAAATCGACGCGTTCCGTGACGTAAATAGTCTTACGGTTCCGTTTAATCTCCGTCCCTGGTGTATATGTGACTCGCGACACGATCGCACATTGTACTCTGCGCAAACATTTATTTTTCCCAATTGATTTTACTGTTTTTCCATATTCCTATAGATTCCTGTTTCATCATGCCCTTGTTTATACACTTTATTTTTCGAGATACGATTTAAAGACGAAAACGATTCTCGCGAGACTTCGAGTAATCGTTTTTATTTATTAATTGATCATTTTTAATCTTTACTGTTATTACTTATTATTATTTAATCTTTACTTTCCTTCCATATAAATTCATTAAACTTTATAGTATGGAAAATTTTGTGATAATCTTTGGTTATCTAAAAGGAGATTATTTCATGTATAATTTCTTGCTTGTTTCAATGCCGCGGGATCTTTAATAAAGATTTCGTTTGACCTCATACATAATTTCGTTTTCTTCCTAAGCGAAACGATTTTTTCCCTTAAATCACGATTTTCACAACAGTTTATGTTTTTATTCCTGTTCATGAATTCACGGGTATCTCGGGTATCATACGTGTTGCAATAGGAGGAATGATAGAGGAAGGCCTCGAGATAAATAGATACTTTCTTATACGAGCTATGAACAAGATATCGTTATTTTCGCGCGAGTGGGGTCACCAATGCTATTCCAGTCGGAAGAGATAAATGAACTGAGAGAACTTGTGCGCGTTTTTATAGGGGAGAGAGGTGATAATAGTCACGAGACATGATGCACGTCGGATGCTTATTAAATTTTTATTGTACCACGTAATAATAATAATAATAATAATAATAATAATAATAATAATAATTAATAATCATTCGTCACAATAATAATAGCAATAGTTCCGTAATAATAATGACAATTCATCGTCGTCGGTAATTATCCAATGACAAATGTCAATAGTCATATAGTAGCGTGTCGAACGGAGAAACGACTTTTTAAAAAACGAAGACAGTATCAATTGTTCGTTCGTACATTTTGTATTTTTTTTTTCATTTTTTTCTTTCTTTTAGCTTCCGTCGTCTTACTCTTCTCGCTCGCGCTTTTACTTTTTCCTCGTTACTTTTTTTTTTAATCATTTTTAGTCACTTCTTAACCTTTCGCTCTTCCACACGCGCATTCTCTCTCTCTCGACTTTTTTTTTTCTGCTCACCTTGAAAGCTTCCCTTTCTTTCTAACTTTCTCTCACACACACGCACACTTTCTCCCTCTGTCTCGTGGTTTACACAATTGATGCAAAATGTCCCTACACAGTCCGACGAATGTGTGTGTGTGTACGTTTTTTTTATTCCCGATCGATCGATTTTTTTCTTCCGCTTTCTGGGTCGTGGTGTGTTTGCTCGACGCTTTCTCTATGATATTACTGCATTTTTTTTCATTTTTATTTTACTTTTGCTATTTCTCCGCCATTAATTAATCATCAATGAATTATCCGCTATTTTCCCTTGTTAGCACGTGTTGACACATTCACTCACATTGGTTGATCGGTTTGCTAGTGGAGGGACTGGGGGTCGTGGGGGTGGGTTTTTGGAAACATGAGAGGGTGTGTGCCGTTTGTGGAGGATACCGGTGAGGAGTGGAGCATAAGGACGGGTAAGAAAGGACGTGCTGCTGAGGATCTCGGGAACCGGGATGGGAAGGAAGGGATGTGCGCAATGTATCGGGGATGCAATTAATTAGGAACGTTTACGAGGAAAATTGATACGCTGCGGTGAAAAACAGAAGGCGCGATTATTAAATCAAGTCCCACCGGTCAACGGATTTTGTTTGGTCTCTATATCAATTTTGCGTCCGAATTATCTGAGTTTTTTTGCGAGGTCTACGGGCCGAAAGGGATGGAATTTCATTTAACCGAGTCGCGTCGACCGCAGGACATCTTCGCGGTGCCGAGAGCGTCGAAAATCGATAACGGTCGCCTACGATCGCGAGGGGGAAACTGGAGTTCGATCAAGGAGACGGATGGGGTGCGATCGGGAGGGTACATACGTGCGTATGTACTGAAAAGTATACTGCCTCGTTTCCGCGATTTCGTCGCGCTCGTCCCGCGCGTTGAATCGAATTCGTTCTATCTCTCTGCCTAACCATTTTTTTTTCATTTTCTCTTTTTTTTTGCCTCTGTCGCCTCTCCTCCTCTGCTCGTCCTGGGACGCGACAATGTGCCGTCACGCGGTTTCGAATCGAATTGTTTCTTGTCTTTCCATTGGTCGTGTGCGGGAGAAAATGTTTGAAACGCAAAACCGGGGGATCGTTTAATTAGATTGAGGAGTTCGTCGGTAATGGAAATTCGATCGGGCCACATTGTCACGAACGAGGAAGCACATCGCGTACGCGTTCGCGTTTATTGTTGTTACTTATTTTTTTCTTTTGCTTGTTTGTTTGTTTGTTGCACTAGATGTACGTATGCGTGCGTACATACATACATATATGTATATCTTAATATATAGATATTTAATTATATTGTTATTTCATCGGCTATTTCTCCATCTGCTATTTTGGTTTTTTTTTTTCTGCTGTTGTGGTGGTCGTATAAAAGAAAACAAGGATTGAGTCGTTTTTATCTTTTTGGTTGCGTCAAAAAATGTGTGCCTTGTGTACCGGTAAATGCGAAATTATTCCAGCGAACCCAAACTATTGCCTGCTATTGTTTCATCTTGTATGCGTTGTATCGTATCGAAATTCTGGTTGATTATATCAATTTTTGTTTTCGTTTTTCTTTTTTACGCATGTGCTCTCTACCTTTCCTCTTATCTCGTTCCTACCCATTTGGCCGTGACGTGTATTTTTCTTTTTATCTCAATTTTTACTCTGCCGTTTCTCGCTCTTCGCTCGAGGGGAGGGGGACTTTTGTTTGCTCGCCGACATTACAGTGTGCAATCACCGTGAAAAAAAATTTTTTGTTTTTTCTCTCAACTCTCGCATTCTCTCTCTTTCTCTCGCTTTCTCTCGCTTTCTCTCACTATTTCGCGCTTCCCTATGTACTTCGAGTTCGATAATTTCGTCTAAAATTCCATTTTCGCCTTAACTATACACAATAATCATAATATATAATAATAATAATAATAATAATCACGACTCGAATACATCATCGATCACCTCCGAATATAGATACAATAATTCTTCATCTTTTTTTTTTCTCTCCTCCTTCTCTCCGTCTTCTTTCAACTTCTTAACCGCCCTGTTTTTCTCACATTACATCTCACAATAATGATCCTTTAGTTCGTCGTATATATTTTTTTTTTCTGCTGTTGTGGTGGTCGTATAAAAGAAAACAAGGATTGAGTCGTTTTTATCTTTTTGGTTGCGTCAAAAAATGTGTGCCTTGTGTACCGGTAAATGCGAAATTATTCCAGCGAACCCAAACTATTGCCTGCTATTGTTTCATCTTGTATGCGTTGTATCGTATCGAAATTCTGGTTGATTATATCAATTTTTGTTTTCGTTTTTCTTTTTTACGCATGTGCTCTCTACCTTTCCTCTTATCTCGTTCCTACCCATTTGGCCGTGACGTGTATTTTTCTTTTTATCTCAATTTTTACTCTGCCGTTTCTCGCTCTTCGCTCGAGGGGAGGGGGACTTTTGTTTGCTCGCCGACATTACAGTGTGCAATCACCGTGAAAAAAAATTTTTTGTTTTTTCTCTCAACTCTCGCATTCTCTCTCTTTCTCTCGCTTTCTCTCGCTTTCTCTCACTATTTCGCGCTTCCCTATGTACTTCGAGTTCGATAATTTCGTCTAAAATTCCATTTTCGCCTTAACTATACACAATAATCATAATATATAATAATAATAATAATAATAATCACGACTCGAATACATCATCGATCACCTCCGAATATAGATACAATAATTCTTCATCTTTTTTTTTTCTCTCCTCCTTCTCTCCGTCTTCTTTCAACTTCTTAACCGCCCTGTTTTTCTCACATTACATCTCACAATAATGATCCTTTAGTTCGTCGTATATCTATACATATACATATACATATATATATATATAATTTATAAAATGAAAATAGGTACAATTTTGGACGCTTTTCTCCGTCGAAAAAACGCTCCGAAAAATTTCATTTTCGCTTAATAATGCCCATCGGTTGCGATTCTAGTCCACTTGGTAGTAAAATTTTGTTTAGTTTTCACTCGCTCATTCACGCACTAAATACTCTGTCTCTCTCTTTCATTCTCTCTTTGTCACGCTCTCTCAGAGTTTCCCGTCAGAGACACTCGAAATTTCACATTCGCACTGAATGCATTCGTAACGCAATCTTTCACACCCTGCTTCAGATTTCTCACGCTCACGTAATTTGTGTATGCTTTTTTTTCGACAGTCAGACTTAGTATCCCTTTCGCACAAGAAATTTTAGCGATACGAAAATTCGATATCGCACTCGCGATACTCTCAGCCTTTTTTTATTTCATTCGCCTTCGATTTTGGAAAGACATTGAGAAGTTATACTTTTAGGCTGGTCAATCGCGTGCTTCCAGAATCGACGAGGCTTCCAACGGAGCTCGCTGCCGGAACAAAACGTTTCTCCTTCTGCGAAATGTACGCGCTTCGTTTTCTACACTCTACGCACGCCTCCCGCGATTTTTAATAGTATTATTTACAGTCGTTCGATCGTTTTGTCGCGACATTTTTTTTCGAAACTCGAACGGCTCTTCAATTTCTGACTCGCCAGTCTCGTTTCGACGAAGATCGTCGACGATCCCACCTCGTGTTGATCGCGCGGGAAGAATTCCGTCCCGCGCGACGACCGATCGGTCCCACTAATACGAGAATCATGAATTTTAACGAGATTTCCTCTCCCGTGACGACCGAGCTGAATGGGACCTTCGTCGAAACGAATCGGCACGCTCTTAACAGGAAGCCCGAAAGACAAGTTTTCCTATATAACACTCGTTTCCACTTTTTTCGCATCCGCAATTACACTAGATCATCGGAAAAACATGAATCCAACAGTGTTCAATGGTATCTACGTACTTGCAAGTATCTGAAACACTGCTCCTTTCCCAAGTACATGCTTATTCCTAAATGGTTAAAAATAATATTCCATCGCAGTGACAGTGTCGCTTTTGATATGTTTAATTAAATGAAACGGAATCTGCGTCCCGATCGGTTTCCCAGCCTGGAAAGTATCAAAAATTCGATTCAACCAGTTTCGAGGGACGTTTCTATCAATCTAATTTATCCTCAAATGTTGTTAAATTTTTCAGGGAGAACGCGCGATCGGGACGGGGTTCCGTTCGGTACAAAAGATACCGGAAACAATATCCTTCAGTGGTTATTTATGGAGACGTCCTTCTGAACGATAATTTCGCTTTCTATAAAAATCACTGAAAACCTGGACCGTGGAACAGAAGAGCTTCTCCAATCGTTTTCATTTAAAATTCTCGATACCATAGTAAGTGAATCACATCGAACACTGCCCACCCGCGTCCCGCCACGAGCACTCCTCGTCGGACGCCGGGTGGCGTGGTAAAACGATTGAAATTTTTGGAAATTGTTCTTCCGCGTGCGGCCCGGAAGTCGTTCCGTCGCACGGAAGCACTCGAGTTGACGAATGTCTCTTCATATCTGCTTTTTAAAACGGTGTGTGAAAACGGAAACAGTGACAGACCCGTTCGGTCCCAACGAATATACGGCGCCGGACCGAACCGGGTGTCACAAAAAAGGCTCTCGCGATTCTTTTCGCCGAACATATTACGTTCTCTGCTTTTGTTCATTTCATCGTTTCTCGCAATCATCGAAAGCGTTGCTCTTTCTCCTGGATAGTGCATCACATGTATCATCATACATTAAGAACCATTTATGAGTAATCCTACACAATGCGGAACTTGCTCGTAACCGAAAGAGACTGCTTAATTATTTATTTCCTTCGACGTTTCGCTTTTTTTTATTTTCTATTTAAATCTTTTTACCTGACTACTCTCGTTTTCTCCCTTTCTACATCACTATCTTTCCTCCCTTGTTTCCAGGATTTACCATCTAGATTATTTTGCGTTTTTTTTATTTTTCTGCGTCGACCATTGCCGAAAGTCGAAATTGTAAACGCTGCTCAAACTACGTACGCGGCGCTTCGAGGATTCTTGTATATTATACGGCTTTCTCGAAAGTGTTGGCTGCCCGGGGCAACGCCGTCGGAACGCGAGTTCCGAGGACGTCGTCGGGGTGCGTAAAACAAAATTCTTTTCTCCTTAGCTCTTTATCGCACTCCAGATGTAAAACCTTCCACATTACGTGTTTTCTAATCGCGTGTTGGTCTCCCTCCCGCCTCCTTATTGCTCAGCGCTGTCCAATCGACTTTTTATCAGGACGTCGCTTTTATTCTACTCCCGTTTCTATGATCAATGTGATGTTTAGATTTTGTACACGTTCGAATAGGACAGCGCGTTTGGAGGCGAGAAGCGATCGAAACAGTTACCTCGCTCGCCGATCGACGGTAGGCTCAAGAATCGATGGCGATAACTAATAATAGTAGTAATAGTAGCAATAGGCTGTAACTAATGGTAGTAGTAGCGATAACTGATAAACGCCGGCGAAATTGAAAGTGTGAGGCCCCTCTCGTCAAACCCACTGCGGATTTTTACTCGAAATAATATTTTTCAATAGAGTCGATAGAAATTATTATACAATTTCTCTCAGATTTATGCGATTTTTCTTTCAAACGTCGTGATATGCACTTCTGATATTTTTCTACAAATCCGCAGTTATATTAATTATCAAATTCCAGTAATCAAATTTCTGTTAAGATTCACCTCGACGCACTTTCAACGCCCCGCCGGCGGAACAATAGGTAACGATAATATTTTAATAAATGCACGTGTCCTAAATTCCTTGCGACAATCGTCAGCGTATTTCAGAGATTTTTATTTAACACCGTGACAGTAAATCACGTACGGTTTGAAACGTTCTATTTAGTCGGACCGTCGATAGCGAACCTCGACGTTTTAAGGAACCACATTGACGTACCACAAAATTAATCTAACGTACAATAAAAGGGGGAGGGGTGGAAGAGAAAGAAAAGAAGTACGTACATAATATAACGATGGCCATAGAGTGCCACGAAAACAGGTGTTTTTAACTTAATTAACGTGTAACGCGATGATGATCTCCGATGTGCAATTATTGTGATGATAACTAACGATAGACTAAAACTTATAATAGTAATAACGGTAAAACTAGTAGTACGAAAATTAAGGGTAATAAAAATGATAAATTAGCGTGTCTTCTAAACGGCTGTGGTAGCAGTGTAGCAGTAGTAGTAATAGTAGTAATAGTAGTAGTAGCAGTACACCGGTTGCAGTAGTCAAAAACGACGCTAGGACTGAATAGTCTGTATGTACCTTCGAGATGTTAAAGGAGAAATAAAACAATAAAGGGAGAAACGGTACTGGATACAAAAAGACGGGAAGGGGGGGGGATGAAAAATATGTATGCGTGTACTATTTAAGACTTGACGCAACTGTGAACGACAAATCGTAACAAGTTTCGTTAGAAAACCGGCGACCCGACACGCCTTTTCTACGCGAATAGTAACTAAAGAACCGTAGTTTTGTTTACGCGAGTCCCGCGTGCACGTTTTCATTTCTGTTCTTACTTAAAGAAAAAAAAAAGAAATAATAATAATAATAATATTAATAATAATAATAATAGTAAAGAGGACGTGGCTCGAGAGTGATCCGAGCTCCGTGTATGTCACTAAACCACTAAATTACACGATACGAACGATGAATTAATTAATTAATTAATAGGCAGTAACTAATCGTAAAACTCCTTAGCTCGTCGCCTTCGTTCTTCGTTTTAACCAATTCTGACTAGCAAACATAACTCGACGCGGTGTTTGTATTCACCGATATCGAATGCCAGAACCAACGAATCTCAACTTTCAACGAAAATTTCCGAACAGAATTCTCGACCCGTCTAGTGTTTCTTTTCTCGTTTTTCACCGTTTCGCGAAGGAAATAGGAACTCGAATTGAGACCGGACCCGATAGAACCGACTCGTCCCCTCGGCTCGCGTGGACACGCGTGACGATCAGTGAATAAAAACGTCGCGAAGTGCGATTAGCGAAGAGTACGCAGGAGAATGCAACTCTTAATCGAAAATTCTGGGACTCGATCAGTCCAATTGTTTTGTCGATAGCATCAGATGACATCGAAAGAGAATTTTTTACATAAAGAAGATATAAAATTTGTCGTGAATTCCGTTCCTTCTCCTGGCACTCTTCTAACTCGAACGACAGGACATAATATAATATGTAATGGCATACATAAAAGAGACAAAGAGGAACGTATAACGCGATTATTTTTCCTTGTTTCTCGATTGACTAACGCGCGCGATTTAAACAGAGGGAAAAAAAGGAAACGGAAAAGAAACAAAGGAAAAAAGCGAGGATTATCTCTCACGCTGAACATAACGTGTTAGAGAAGTAAAGCTTAACAAACGACGCTGGTTGTTAGTGGCGTACAAAAAGTGTCAGTCGTTACGCGTAAAAATTACTAGTAGAGGGAAGACATCGAAAACGAGATTAAAGAAGAGAAACGCGACGGTTTTCCCTAGAAACAATTTTTCCTTTTTCTCGCGAGCAGACGAAAATAAAATGAACAGAAGAGGGAGACTGAAAATTTGGCAATTGCTCGAAAACGCGCTCCTTCTACGTACAACTTTTACGTCCCGGCTTCGCTCGTGTATAAATAATAAGTATACAAATAATTATATAATATTTAACGAGTATAACTTTCTCTCTCTCGCTCTTTCTCTCTCTCAACGTATGTATATATATATTTATATAATATAACTCTATATGTGCTTGTTCGTGTATACATACAAGTATATGTCTAAAATATGTATATTTGTATAAAAAAAAGGTAATAGGGAAGAACTAAACAGAAAAAAAAGGAGAATCTCGAAACGTGGCTACTATTCCCTTACTACCGATTCTTTCTTCGTCGATTCGCTTGTCTCGTTCATCTCTTTTTCGATAGATCTCGATCAGTTTCTTTTCGATTTGCTGTTTCTCTCTAAAAAATACGCCTCCAATTGCCCTTCAGCAATCTCTTTTCCTCGTTGTAATCAACTAATCAGTAATAACTAATAGCGATAATAGAGTAGCGATAATTATAATAATAGTAGCAGTAATAATAGTAATAATCGTAGCGTTGAATTAACCGGACCGTTCGACGGATCCCCGCGTCGCGTTCGATTCACTTCTTTTTTTTTTCAAAATTGACTAATCGTTCTAAGATCTTTTTTTAAGAGTCAGGACTGGATTTGCTTGAACGCGAACGGGGATCCGACCAATGCCCTCGCCAGACAGCGTGGATGGGCAAACATTTAAGAGTAAAAAAAGGATAAAACACGAAAGAACAATTAACAACTTATCATCGAAGCATATCGAAAGATTCATTCGCACCGTACATTCAGTTTTTAGGATTTCTGAAAAAGTGTCGCTTTTTTCACATCTTTTTTTTCTTTTTGCTTATACAAGGATCGATCGGACTTTGGCCGACTTTTAGATACAACGAAAAGAGGCTACTTGTTTAGATTCTTTTTTTTTCCTTTGTCAACAACGCGGATATTTTCTCGTGTACGGTCCCACAGGCCCAGTCATTTTTCATCAGCGCAGCGATTAGAATTCGTCCTAGGAATTTTTGTCCCCGCACCAATTGTTACAAAGTCGATCTTCCACGAGCCTCGAATCGATTCTTTCGGTTCGACGCGTTTTTCATTTTTTTTTCTTTTTTTGGTGTTCGAACACATAATAAATAAGTACCGATACTGCCGGGCGAAAACATCTCGCTTCTCGGCTTTGTACCCTCTTTTGACTAGAATTGAATTTCGAATGACTAGGACGAAACGCATGGGCTCTCTATCCTTTTACTAGTTCTCTCGTTCCTTCCTGACGATCTGAATTCACGTGGGCCCGCGGAACCGGAAGTGCGTCGATATACAATTTGCCCAAAAGGGGACTTCGACCAAACTCAATCGATACCATTAAACCTGCACGCACATTTTCGTCGCATCGTGCTAAGACTGTCGTTTCGCCACCAATTGCTTTTCGCGGTTTCTCTACTGGAACGTATACTCGGATAGGTTCTTTATTATTCAGACGGTAGAAACGCGACGAAAACGGGCGCCGAAAATTAAACAAGAAGATTTGTTTTGTCATTACTCGATCAACTAACTGCGCGTAAAGTGTCAGAAGTTCGTAACTCAACTTTGTCTTTTTTTTTTCTTAAACAAATCACCGCCGCCTCTCGCGTCCCGTTTCCCAAAACCAAAACGCCCATCTTTTTCAAACAGTGCATTCCTTTGATTCCCAAAACGTCTTCAATTTTTTTTAGATGGACGTTCGTATCTAAATTCCTTTTTTCTTTTACTTCTCGTCGTAAATCGAGAAACGTTCATAAGGGGGAATACGAGAAGCGAGTGACGGCGAATGAGAATCCATAATTGAGACATCGCGAACGGATATGAAACAATGCGTACACGTAAAACTGGGGGATGGTGGTGGTGGTGGTGGTGGTGGTGGTGGGTGGTAGGTTCTGAAAGGATTACCTGTTGTGGGATGGGCGGGGGAGGTGGTAAGTTGAATGGATCTGATCTGCAAGGATGGGCGGGGGTCAGTGGGTGTTTTGTATTGTGTTGAAAGCAACGTCTTAAGTGAAGTAACTGAACGCTGCACTTGAAAGTCTAATAAAAACACGGGGGAACTTGAACGCACGTAGCTCCGCGTCTTCCTGGACCGAGGAATTAAAACCGGTGACGTTACTTTTTTTTGTCTTCCTCTCCATTTCCGGAGGATGTTTTCCGAGTTAGTCTCTGGATTTTTTCTTTCTTTAAGTGACGCGTCGCGACGCTCGTTCAAGCACCCTCCGATCCGCGTCCGAGTACCAGAGCCCTGTGGTTCATCTCCGTAGTGAGTGCCTCCGCGATTTATTTATTGAGTAAATGCGACGCCTGTGCGCGGTCGCTTGCTGCCCTTAGAATATAGTGTCGAGTACGTTTAATTAATAATTATGCGTGTATGCGTTACTGGTTAACTGTTAATTAACTTGACTTGACAAATGGTTACGGTACTGTAATTAATTAATTATTTATCTGTGTTAGTTTAAATATGTATGACTCCCATCGTACGTAATCGTCTCCTCCTCGCGCTCTCCGCCTACTGTCTCGATCACATCTTTCTCTCTCGACCTATTCGGAGTATGCAACGTACACGTTGCCTAAACTACGAACACTTAGTACACTTAGTAGCATATTTATTCTGTTAAATACTGATTGAACCTCGGGTGGGGATTCACGGGACTCGATTTTCTGGGGGAAACGCGCGGCCGGACCGAATAGATGAAAACAAATTGGAGAACGGATTTTCGTTTTTCGTTAAAAATTATCAAATTTCGTTGTTACTTCATTTCTAGTTTTTACTGCGAACCGCGCGCTGATAATCCGAAAGCGATCCGAACGTTAACGCGAGTTATCACGATGGCTGGGGTCGAAGGAAATTGCGTACGAAATGAATCCGGTATCTCCGGTCGTTCCACTACGCGGTGGTGCACGACAAGACTGTAAACACTGAAAAGACCATGTATGCTTCCTGTATACTTACTTAGTTAACTGTTTATTGCGGTACACTGTAATAACTGTTCTACCATAGTACTACTAGTTGTGAGTTATACTTGAAAACGCCTGTTTAACTGTAACAGAAAACCCTGACGAAGGCACCCACTAAGCGGACTTTCGTATTCTTCTGTCATACTGTTCACTGTTCAATTTCGTGACTCCGAATCATTTACGATTTAGTTGCTCTTTTAGATCACTTCATATTTGTGTCAATTACAATTTGAAATGTAATACTATTAATTGTACCAATGGTTGGGATTCTGGCTTCTGATCGGCAAGGAAAACAAATGTTTGGGCTCGGTATCTCGTCTCGAACGCGCATACGGGGGGTTCACGGTTCGGGAACAGGGTAACGAAAACACATTCCCGTGAACAAAAATTTGGAGAATATTTCGAAAAGAGTGTCGACTCGTCGCGGAACCCGGAACGGTTCGCCGGAGCGAGGCTCGGTCCGGATTACGGCGACCAGCCAGTACGGTGGGTTCGCAAACGTTCGTCGCCGGTTTGGTTTGTGTTACCGATTGATTGATTAGAGCGTCTCGATCGATCAGATTCACGGCACGTTACTACTCTGCTGGAGTTTCAGCATGCATATTTCTCGAGGAAGAAGAACAACAAAACGCGTCTTCTCGTCTTTCCTTTTTACGTCCAATGTGTACGCGTCGCCAAAGTGCCCGAAGATCATCAAGACGATCGACAAATTGATTTCCGGCAAGAGTTAGCTATTGTAAATGAAACGGTGATTTTTGAACGGTGCCGAACGATTGTAAGAAATGCAATTAGATTTTTGTGTTTGTTACTTGGAACTCCGGGGGATGGTATCGCAGCCTCCATGTTCGGGGTTTGTTGATTGCTCGCACGCCTCGAGTGAACGGGGCGAACTCGAGCAACGGACGGCGACGACGCACGGCAAACGCGAACCCACCGCCTTATCAGCTATGCCTCTTCATTTATATAGTGGACATTGAAACAACTTATTCCGGTTTTTAATCACGGAGGCTCGGTCAGGGACACCGCGTGAAAACGCGAATGCCGCCGAGGCGCTCGCACTGCTAGACTGTCGGTTTTTTTATTTCATATGCTGCGCACTTACGATACACACTGTCACGAATATACACATACGTCATTGCCTCGGCTTCCTTTCGGTCTCTCTCAGTCGATGGGATCGGAATGGATCGATTAGCTCGCGATCGTACGTGATATATTCGTTGTGAGAGATTATTTCATTAAAAAATTAAAACCCGATCGAAAACAAATCAACGGTTTTTGCTTGTAAAGCCGCGAATATCGAACAACGGCTCTCCTAATGCCGTTGCTACTTCCTAGGATGGTTTACATATTACACACTGGTATTTCTGTACGCGGGACAGGCTCTCCTTTGTCCGTGTCGTGCGAGGCGCCACCCTTGTATCCGTCGAACGACGTCCCACATCGTCGGACGTTTCTCGTTCGACTTACACCTGTTCCGGTTGGTTGGTATCTCGAGTTCTACGTACGTGGCTCGCCTCGCAGCCTGCGCCGCGTCCTGTTCGACATTCTTCGACGAAGATTATGTCGCGTCACTTCCGGGTTTATTGGGTCAAGTCAGGGATGCATGGTCGACGTCACGCGTCGAGACGCGGACGTCATCTCGTCATCGGTACTGCATCCAAACGTATGCCAAAGGCCGCGAATTTAGTTTCGTGCTCGTTTTCTATTTTCCCATAATTTATTTTGTTCCGTTTTGGATGAATTGCTTTTAGTTCTTTTTGAAACCGTAAATCCTCGTTCACTGCCGCTCGAAACGATTCCTCTGCGCTCGTCAAGCGAGAACGAATCGGTGACGATCCTCGCGCGGATCTTATCAAACGGATCGGTAGTAAACGTTCTTATTCTTTTTTCTTTTTTTTTTTACTTTGTATACCTTGTCGGCCGAATTGTTCTGGTTTTTCGTTTTTTGAAAATTCTGCTTTTTGCTCGTGACAATTTACAAAATCAATTGGCTTTACATATCCGTAGCGTGTGTAGTTAAGTGTAATTAAGTGTAGAGAGTGTAGCAGAGTGTGTAGTTGTAGGCGTGTAAGTGTGCGTGCCTGCGATAAACGCAGGTGTGTAGACGACACGCTTGACGCGGCCGCCTTGTATATGAGAAGTGTGTGAGCGCGCGGGGTTGCACGCTCGATAACCAGGGCAACTTTGGTTTCGATTGTGTACTGGGGCCGAGATCGTGAGACTCGGCCGTCTCTGTCTTAACTCGTGTGTCTGTGCTTGTCTGTGATTCTGTCGCTGTGAACTGTTTGCTCCTTGGCGAGAATACCAATTTTACCGCGACGCTCGATTGGCGCCGCGGATTTTGCGTTTGATTCGTTAGGTCGAGTCGTATTTGTGAGTGTGTATGCACTGGGAGTATACACCAGCGCATCCGGGCTATGGCATTTTTTAGATTATTTAAACATTTAGCAAATTTACATGAAAGAGATTAAGATTATGGGTAAGGGCTGGTTTTGCAGTCCACGTGCTTCCTTCTGCTCCGTCGATTTTCGTTTTCACCATACGTTGTCTCCTCAACGTCAACTGCACTCGCTTCGTTTTTCGCTTTTCCTGTCGCCCGGTAGTTCCTTGTATCCAGCGGCCGGCTCGGTGCGATACGGCTCGCCGCCGCTCGATCCTCTCGTCGATTCCTCTGCGACCTCGACACACGTCCGTCTCGGTTTCGCATCGTTCGCGAACGGCTCCAGCCGTTCCGCCGTCGTGTGCCGTCGAGAGTCGTCGGCCGGGCGGCGAGCTCCTTCCTCTTCTTTCTTCCGAGTCGAGCTGTGCGGTTCACCGCGGATCGCCTCTCGTGTCTCGCGGACTACGTCGACAGTGGTAGCTCGTTGAAAATCCGGCGAAGGTAGACGCGCTGCGCCACCGGCCCGCTTACGAGTTACGGGCATATGTAAATCAATATATTTGTAAATTATTTTTTTGTGCTTTTTTTCTTGCCGGCACGCCTACGTCGGGGCGAGCACGTCAATTTTTTTTTTATGCTTTATTATCATCGCTTATCATTCTTCGATTACAGAACATACACTACTAGAGCTATTGTAACTTGCGTTTGTTGTGTGTTTTGTTTAATTTTTAATTAATTATGGTACACGTTCGCGGGGCACGGGCCGGCGCCTCGGGAATAATTCATCCTTCTCGCGCGGGGATGTGATGTGTGTCTGTTGGTATCGTGGCGGGGAGTTTCGATCGGCTCGCCCTTCTTTTTTTTTTTTTTCTGTTTTTCCACCGATTCTGGATCGCTTTTTGCTCGCACTACCTTTTCTTCCGTTCACTTTTCAATCCTCTCCTCTCTCGTCTACTTTTTGTTTCTCCTTGACGTTCAATGAAAAAGCAACCCTCGGCGCACGGCAGGATGCACCGGTGAAAAGCTGTCGTCTCGTTTCATGATCGTTCACGATCACGAATGATCTCGACGGTTGTGCTCTGGGTGGTTGTGTTTACTGTATTGTTGTTGTTGTTAACATTTTTTTTTTTTTTTGTTTCTCCTTTTGAAAGCTGACAATGGCGATAGTGATGGTGAAAAGTGGTGATGCTGTTGCTTCTTTTTCTTATTCAAAATCTCTTTCGTATCATCTCCTCCGCTCCTATTTTCGTGCACCATTATATTTTTTGGATGATTTTCTTCATGTTTTGTCGAGGGACCGTAGAACCTTTTTTCCACTTCGTTTGTTTTAGAAAGATGTTTTCTTTACTTCGTTTTCTTTTTTTAGAAAAATTAATTTTATAATCGTATTTGAATTTTCGTTATTACTGTTCCTTCTGCGTGTGCGGCACGCGTATCACCAAAAGAACAAAGGTCCTGATCTTCGCCTGACACAAATGCTCGCTCATTCACTCTTTCATTCGATCGAACTTCGACCTCTCTCCTACGTTCCGATTAATCTAGTCTCTATTTGGATAATCGCGCCGCACCTTTGCCGAAACAAACGAATCCGCGTTCTGAAAAACGTTTCATATAATATACCCGGAATGGGAACGGTGTCTCGCGTTCTTCCACGAAATTGCAATGTCATACCTCCTGGATGAAAAATGAAAGAATCGTGTTTCGCCAAACGTGTTTGGTCCCTGTCTTAATTTGGAGGCTAGTCGGTGCCGGTGGTGCGAGTGTGTGAAGAATTTGTGTTCTGAGGCTTACTTATCTCTATCCTATCGTAGCTGTACAATCCATCGCAATGCTGTGTGTGTGTATGTGAGCGTGTCTGTGTAATCGTGTGTCTTGAGTGTCGAGAAAAAAAAATTTCCCGATCAGCGACGCCCATTTTGGAGAACGTTCTTCTGCGGCAACCCTTTTGCCGGATTACGGCTTTCTTTTATAGTTGGTAATGAAGCGACTCGGCGGTGTGAGGGCTCGCATAAGAACGAGGACCAACGACCAGGCGTACACCGATGACGAACAGAAGCATTGGTTCGATAAAAACGATTATCGTTGGTTGCGTGAACGAGGTGTATGCACTCGTCCAGCTTTAGGTATTTACATAGAAACTAACCCTATTTCGCATTATGTACTTGATTTAAGTTTACCAGTAAATTCTCAGTTTATGCTTGTGATATCAAGGTGTATTTACATACTACTTAATCCGAGGAAAAAACGCCCTGTAACGAAAAAATTTTATAATAAGAACGATCAATGATCGACCCGCGTGCGCTCCACTGAGAACCCGGAGCGCCCCTCGCACTTTTACACGTTCCAAGGGTGCTTTTCTCGATGCGTCGCCGTTTTCTGCGAAGGCTTCCTTTTCTCTGTTGTCGAATTGTAAATTTGTCAAAAGTAATTCTGAATGACGGCGACGCTTTCGCTTTGAAAGTGATTCTGAAGTCGGTCGAGGGATCGGCCTGCGGGTTCCAGTCGCGAGGCGAGTGCGATCGTTAAATGTAGCTTTGACGATGAATCTTTTAGCAATCTTTTCTTCTCTCGTCCCGGATGGTGAAAAAAGCCTGGCTACCCAGCGGCTTCTCGGCGCGTGTCTTTTACGTTCAACGAAGATGACGACGTTAGGCTACTTTCGTAATTGGCGAACAAAGGGGTCCCCTGAAGAGGAACGGAGAAGTTTCGATAGACTCTTTTTGCGATCGTCGGGAAACGGAATTTCGAATTTCTGTTCTCCGTTTTTAACGGTTCTAACATCGAGACGGTGACTTTTGAAATGAAAGCGCGTTCGACAGAAGTTCTCTTTTCGAATTGTCTCGGGACAGAAACAGGAAAATCGTTCGGGAAGCGAAATTTACAGAGAATGGGGATTTAGAGGTGCAAGGAGGGAATTCATACGAACCGGTTCACGGAAGGAAAAGTCTCGTCGAGAATCTTCCAAGGGAACAACAACAACAACAATAACGCGGGTCGACGTACGACGTGTCTCTAGGGAAGAAAAAATTCGGCACGCTACCATTATTTCTTTTTCAAGTTCCGCACTCTTCAGTCCGCGATTGCCAGTCGAAGAAATGAAGAAATCGAACGTGTCGTAGGTGAATCGTAGTCGAAATTTATCTTAACAATTTCTTTGGACCGCCTCTGACTCGTCTTTTTTTATAATAAGAATTTTTAGACGATTCCGACAAAATTCGAATTTCAAGAAGCGCGTATATTTTCTTCTTTCTATCATTTTTGCTTTTGATTTGATAGGAGGTTTACGGTCAACGTTTCGTTCCATCTCGTCTGGTCTCGTCGAAAGGTTTCGTTTATCAAAAGGTCGGAAAAAGGGGAACATCGAAGTCGAGAGAGTCGATTGATGGGGCGTTACAAAGAGGCGTTTAGGGGGAGTAAGGGGCTGGCCCGAGTTTCTCTAAAAAAGTTCGCTCCATGGTCAAAAAACCTACAGACTTTCTAAATTCTTCTTCTCCTCTCCCTCGTCATCCTCATCTTCGTATCTTTTTCTTTTCCCTATCTCTCTTCCTATCTTTCATTCGTTCTTTCATATCATTCTTGTTTTCTTTTTTTTTTTTTTAAATTGATCCACCTCTGTTCTGCTTCTCCTTCTTCTTCCTTCTAAGTATTGCGAGAACGTAACGGTATATTGCAAGTAAAAGTTCGAAACGACGCAAGTATTTTTACGCGTTCAGATATATTACCCGGAAATAAAAAAATATTTCGCTTATAACGATCACAGGACCTCAGATTATTACCTGAAGCACGCTCTCTAAAATCTCTCTCATTCGTATCACACTTGCACGCTCTCATCCTTGATGCTCACGAAGCATTCCCTTTCGCGCGTATTCTCCTTACCTTTCATCCGTGCGCGCGTGCCCGCGCTGGTACTCGCCAAACCCCGAGCAGTCCCGTTCACTCGTTAAATTCTTCCCTTGCTCTCCCACTCTTTCGCCCCCGTCCGATTCGTTTCCTATTATCCGATTGCATCTGTCCTGCCAGTCCGTCCTCCTCGTCCTCTGGCCACCCTCGTGTAACGTCCGTCCCTTCACACTCTCATCGACGTTGTTCGGGGCTCGTGTACCTCCGCTCGGGCACGCGCTCCTCATTCGCTCAATTTTCTTTTTCGCCTAAATTTATCCTAGTCTCATAGACCCTATATTTATTATTTATAATATTTATAATATATATATAATATATATATAATATATATAATATTTAGCATTTAGTTTTTTTTTTATTTACTCTCTCTCTCTCTTCGCGTCGTCTTTCTCTCTTCTCTTGTTCTTCGTCATTTTTCCGACGTGCGTATACACCTCACGCAATTTGTCTCGCGAAAAATGCTCTTGTACACTCCTACGACGCTTTAAAAATGTGTACAACTCGAGCCGGGGTCGAGTGGCCCCCGGCCCAATTCATTTTTTCTTCTTTCTTCCATCATACACTCCAGACTCTCTGTATGTATATATAATATATATAATATAACTGTTTGTAATAATTATATTTTGTTTGTCCGCTTACGAGCTAATAGTTTTCGTGCTGCCGACCAGCACAACGTATTCTGCGCGCATTCATCTTCTTCTTCATTTTTTATAACCCTTACTTGTCGAGCAGGTTTCATCTTCATCATCGTCTTCTTCTTCTTCGCGATGTGTGTGTTTCTGTGTATGTATATTATATAAGTAAGTGTAAAGTGTCCGATGTGTAATCTGTGTAACAAGTATTCTCTGTGTACAACGTATCACTAAAACGTAGCTAGCCGCCGCGGCTGTACGACGAGGCCTCCTCGTCGCGCCGCGCGGCGATATCGCGGGTCAGACCGTCCGTTTTCTCTGCTAGTTTTTGTTTTATCCTCGTTATTTAATTACAATCTCGCGTTCGTCCGATAAACGGGAAGGGGGATGCTGTACGTATTATAACGACGTGTAACGAACGTACCAGGAGCCAGCTGATCCACCTGACCTCGTTTACGCACGTCGACGTATCAGACAAAGCGTTTTGTCTCGTGGCTTAAACGTTAAGGGAGCTAAGATTAAGGGGAACCTTAAAGTGGCTTTTTTGTTTGTTTGCAGGTATGTATAATATGTATATAGTTTAGTTTGTTGAGCCTAGACGGACCGCGGCCGGGACCGGGGCTGACCACTAGCCCCGTGGCCACGTCCGCCGGGTGCGGCTCTTGTACTAAAAAAAACCATAGTACACTGCGCCCTTGGGTCGGCCCTGGGTCGCCAGGGACGACCCGCGGATTGCGCGACCGGTTTATCGGCTTCGTTCGATTATTATTATGGCACGTTTCGGGGGTGACGTAGAACAGCGACGGTGGCAACGCGTCCTGAGAATTCTGTAAGAGCGACTTCGACGAAACAAAGGATTATAACACCGCGCGAAAGAAAAGGTCGCCGTTCCGAGCCGCGATGATCGCGGACGAACGGGGACCTGCTCGTTCGGCGAACGTTGTCGTTCTAGGAACTCTAGTCTCAGGACCGAAGTAGGAACAACGTGATCCACGCGGGAAGTCTCGAGACCCTCGCGTGATGTTTAAAGATCATTGCCACTGCTGCGTCACGCACCGTCTAACGGATTTCTAGATGCGACCGTTCGTCCTCCTGCCCTGTTTCCGTACAGGGGAAGAGTCTCACGGTTGGACCGACCGTGAGTCGGTCAGAGTGGACATCAGGACGTCTGACACCGAAGTGCACCGTTCCTGATATCGGATAATTTGTTTCTACTGCTGAGACAGGAGTATTTTCGCGGATGACCACACTTGGACGCCTGTGTCAGAGTCGACGTAGAGAACGATGAACCGTTTTCAACGGTTCATCGCCGATGTACGTCGCTCTTTACACGTTGTCAGAGTTACCGATCATTTCGTCGGCTTTCCTCTTGACACCACGGTCTTCGGCATGCTGTTGCTGCTGCTGCTGTTGCTGTTGCTGCTGCTGCTGCTGTTGATGCTGTTGTTGATGGGGAAGAAGACCGAGTCCAGACGAACCCTGCTGTTGTTGCTCGTTGAGAGCCACCGAACGTTCAATGCCTTGTAGCTGTTGCTGATTGAGTCGTTCGGCTTGCTGCTGCAGGCCCGTCTGATCTGACGTCCAAGGGGTCCACTCGTCTCAGTAGTAACTGAATTTTCATGGTTGCTGATTGTTCTGCTGATTGACCACGTGCTGGAGGGTGAAACTCAACGCCCGGGGGTCACCGTGAAGCCTCAAGGCCTGTTCTAATCGTTGCTCTTGTAACCGCAACGCTTCCCCTATAAAATTTTACAATATTTGTTTAACCAAAATTTTGTTTAAAGTATAGTGGATTTTCAATCGATGCTTTTCTGTCAATTTCTATTTAGTTTACTAGAATTTTTACTAAATCTATTATTTTTGTTTCCCGCATTTGAGAAGGTAAATTTTTCAATTTCTTTTCACTGGCGTATTTTTCTATAATTTTATATAGAATATTAAAATGATAGAAAAATTAGCCAGTGACGTGTGACGTGAACGGAAATTGGGACATTGACCTACTACTTTGAGTCGAGATGTACTGTGATGAAGAAATATTGAACTCACCAAGGTCTGGCGGTAATGTATCTTGCTGAGACATTTGTTGGTTCGTGTGATGTCCAGGCATGCCAGAGGTACTGCCTCCGTTATGCTGTCCTAGGTGATGTCTCACTTCTCCACTGACCGCTGAACTAGCCGCCGCCGCTGCCGCTTGCGATACCTAAACCAAACATTTGATCAACTTAATTTCGAACATTCCACAACTACTGAGTTTTGCAACTCCTTCCATTATTTTATTACCGATTTTTTTTTTATAAAACTGTGTTATTATGTACATCGTTTATTAGCCAACCAGATTTATTTCGTACGCTATTTGCATGATACTTAAAATCCTGAATAGTTCTCTATATGTCAGAGAAAAATAGAAAAAAGGAAGAATACGTTTCTGATCTTTTTTAATAAAAAGGGTTTTCCTTCCGTAATTCGTTTTAACGCGAGACAAGAACTTACAGCCAGTCTTATCGCGGCCTCGGCTTGAGAACGCAGCAACGCTTCCGCTTGGTGCATTCTGAGAGTCTGTTCTGGTCCGGTTGCTTGAACGCCCTGCTGCTGCGGCCCCGTCGATCCTTGTGCACCGCCGCTCATGTCACCATTGTTCCCCATCCTCATCGCCGCCGCCAGAGACGCCATGTCTGCTGGCGACAGGTTCTGCGACACTGAGCTTTGCAGACCTGTGAAATCATCTTCTCTCTTTTTATCAACATTCACGATCTATCGTCTTGCTAATTGATTCAGATGATTTATTAATAAAACGTGAATTAGACAAAGAAAATTTGCAATCAAGACTTAATAACTGTGTTTAATTTAAAATACGTAACAGTGAAACTTTTGGAGTTCGATGAAATTCTCGTGTGCCTGTTTTCCCCTGAACTCGTCGCTCGCAAATGAAACATTATCGACTCGGTAATAATTGGCACAAATCCGTGGTACGTATCTCCGCGCGTCTTAGATAAGAACGCTATCGACAGCCTCGAACGGGCCAAGAAGCTCGGAGCATCGCGCGCGCCCGATACTCTATCGAGCGTTCGGGAATAATAAAATCGCAAGTCTTACCCGCTTGTACGGCGGCGGCCATCACTACCATACGTTGCTGCTGCGTCTGCATATCGTCGTGGTACTGTTGCGCCGAGCCCGGTTGACTACCCGCTCGCAGCATCTCGCTGACGATCAGCTTGTTGCCGCTCGGTCCCGGCGATGCCATATTGTTGTTATTGTTATTGTTGTTGTTGTTCAGCAGACCGGTACCTGCGCAGAAGTCTGCTCACTTTAGTATCATTGATCTTAGTCGAGGGTGGTAGCGCGCGCTACGCGATACGTACTATCATACGACGATCATCGATCGAGAACAATAGATACACAGCGAAGATCGTTAAAAGAAAATAAGAAAAAACGGAGATAGTGAGCTTGAGTGTTCGCACGACGAAATTACTCACACAAGAGTTGATGGATGATTTATTTAGCTCTCATAGATAAGTTGTAATAATGTTTTCTACAATAACTGTAGGTATCGGAGCTCGGTGGTTACGCTTAAAGTATATGTATATAAATAATAGAAAAATTAGCCAGTGACGTGTGACGTGAACGGAAATTGGGACATTGACCTACTACTTTGAGTCGAGATGTACTGTGATGAAGAAATATTGAACTCACCAAGGTCTGGCGGTAATGTATCTTGCTGAGACATTTGTTGGTTCGTGTGATGTCCAGGCATGCCAGAGGTACTGCCTCCGTTATGCTGTCCTAGGTGATGTCTCACTTCTCCACTGACCGCTGAACTAGCCGCCGCCGCTGCCGCTTGCGATACCTAAACCAAACATTTGATCAACTTAATTTCGAACATTCCACAACTACTGAGTTTTGCAACTCCTTCCATTATTTTATTACCGATTTTTTTTTTATAAAACTGTGTTATTATGTACATCGTTTATTAGCCAACCAGATTTATTTCGTACGCTATTTGCATGATACTTAAAATCCTGAATAGTTCTCTATATGTCAGAGAAAAATAGAAAAAAGGAAGAATACGTTTCTGATCTTTTTTAATAAAAAGGGTTTTCCTTCCGTAATTCGTTTTAACGCGAGACAAGAACTTACAGCCAGTCTTATCGCGGCCTCGGCTTGAGAACGCAGCAACGCTTCCGCTTGGTGCATTCTGAGAGTCTGTTCTGGTCCGGTTGCTTGAACGCCCTGCTGCTGCGGCCCCGTCGATCCTTGTGCACCGCCGCTCATGTCACCATTGTTCCCCATCCTCATCGCCGCCGCCAGAGACGCCATGTCTGCTGGCGACAGGTTCTGCGACACTGAGCTTTGCAGACCTGTGAAATCATCTTCTCTCTTTTTATCAACATTCACGATCTATCGTCTTGCTAATTGATTCAGATGATTTATTAATAAAACGTGAATTAGACAAAGAAAATTTGCAATCAAGACTTAATAACTGTGTTTAATTTAAAATACGTAACAGTGAAACTTTTGGAGTTCGATGAAATTCTCGTGTGCCTGTTTTCCCCTGAACTCGTCGCTCGCAAATGAAACATTATCGACTCGGTAATAATTGGCACAAATCCGTGGTACGTATCTCCGCGCGTCTTAGATAAGAACGCTATCGACAGCCTCGAACGGGCCAAGAAGCTCGGAGCATCGCGCGCGCCCGATACTCTATCGAGCGTTCGGGAATAATAAAATCGCAAGTCTTACCCGCTTGTACGGCGGCGGCCATCACTACCATACGTTGCTGCTGCGTCTGCATATCGTCGTGGTACTGTTGCGCCGAGCCCGGTTGACTACCCGCTCGCAGCATCTCGCTGACGATCAGCTTGTTGCCGCTCGGTCCCGGCGATGCCATATTGTTGTTATTGTTATTGTTGTTGTTGTTCAGCAGACCGGTACCTGCGCAGAAGTCTGCTCACTTTAGTATCATTGATCTTAGTCGAGGGTGGTAGCGCGCGCTACGCGATACGTACTATCATACGACGATCATCGATCGAGAACAATAGATACACAGCGAAGATCGTTAAAAGAAAATAAGAAAAAACGGAGATAGTGAGCTTGAGTGTTCGCACGACGAAATTACTCACACAAGAGTTGATGGATGATTTATTTAGCTCTCATAGATAAGTTGTAATAATGTTTTCTACAATAACTGTAGGTATCGGAGCTCGGTGGTTACGCTTAAAGTATATGTATATAAATATATAAATATTTTATATATAGGTGTATAAGATGGATACATTATTTGGTGGACAAACGTATGCCGAAAGATAGGGCTCGGTACGGTGTATGCGTTAAAATCGATTACTCTCTGCGATTGGTAAAACGACACTCTAACGATTACTCCATTTGACGACCATTTGCAAGAAGACGAGGAACAAGATCGTAGCGTACCAGGTTCACTACCAGCCGACGACAATCTTCCGTTCCCGCTGCTGCTGTCCGAATGAGCCGACGGCGAAGGGCACATCGGTGGTTGTTGCAAATTCTGAGGTCCGCCGGATTGGCTTCCCAACACGCCCAGACCCGTTCCTGTACACCAGAATCATAACACGACGTTAAACGTGGTCCTCAGACGTCGCCAGCATTCGCCGATCGACGTTACGACGTTAGAACATTTTCTGGGTTCATACCTAGACTCGACGACGCGAGGATTCCCCTCTCTCGCCTCTCGGCGGCAGCGCGACTTAAAACGTACTGCGCCGCAAACTGGTGTTTCGGGTCCATCCTCATGTGCTCCATGTGACTCAACAAACCTTAACAGTAAAAGCGAGAGCGATCTCGGTTGAGTTTCTTCTCGGTTAGAAATCGGGTTTACAGAATGGAGATTCGACGTAATCGCGTGTAAACGTGAAACGATAAGTGAACCCGTCGACACGGGTAATCGGATAATTAACGAAAACGTAATGGCACGGCCGCGGTTGATGATATGTATGTATACGGGATCCGATTGATAGAGATGATTTTTATACTTACCGCTCTCATGAGTGAAGACGGCTTGGCACACCGAGCACGGCCACATCCTGAGGCTCGTGCTAAGTTGACTGGTCTCAGGATGGCAGGCCAGGTGTTTCCTGAGACTACCCTCGTTGACGTAGTGTTTTCCGCACACTGGACACGGGTGGTTGGCGGTCCGTCGCTTCGCTAGGTAAATCCCGGCAACGGAGGTTGTGCAGTCAGCGGAGGGAACAATAGGGCGACACAATTTCAAGGTCAATGCTAAGCAGGATAAAGCTTCCCAAGGAACGAAAGCCACCTCCTCCATATCATCATCATATCATCATATCATCATCACCATATCGTCATATCACCATCATCCTTATTATCATCCTTCTTCGATTCTTTTTTTTTTTTTCATCACCATTATCATCACCATCTTCATCATCATCATCATCCTCCTCCTCCATTTCCATCTCCTCCACCTTATTTCTCACGCATTCGCGTGTACACAGTGCGCGTACGTACGTCGACATTCCAGTCGACCTCGAAGGCGAAGGGAGAATCCTTGCAGACGCGGATAGCCGAGGACCAGAGGAGAGCACTGACCTCGGACGCATCGCGCGTTGCTTTCTGTATCCGTTGTTGAGGCTCCCTTTCACGAGCGAGGTCGTCGGCCCAAAAACCAAGATGCACCACGCACGTACGCGCGCTTACACGCTTATAGACGCACAAAGAAAACTTCGACGAATCTTTCTCTCTCCCTTTCTCACCGTCTCCCTTTCTCTCATCATTCTCTCGTCCCTCGCAGCCTTTCTCTCCCTTTTCCTCCCCCGGTCTGCTGTTCCTCCTTCCTTCCCTCTTTCTCAATACAGCCATTTCTTTATACTTATTAGTTCTCTTCTATTCCCCTCCGTCACTCTAGACGTTTACGTTATTATTATTATTATTATTAGTAATATTACTTTCTTCGAGGATCGAAGGGAACACCGTCTGAACCGACGGCTACGGAAAATATTTTAAACGTGGACTACGCCACTTTCTAACGTCTCTTATTACTCTGAGAAGAACACCAGGTACTGGCACTGGCTTCTCTGTTTCTACACTTATAGTTTTAGTTAGCAAAATGATGGAGGAAACGAGACACGACGCGAAAGTCGAAAAACCTCATATTTCGGCGTCACGTAAAAGAGATTCTCACTTGAGCGGCGCACCGTCCGCGCTTTTGTCGATCGTTCTTCTCTGTACGTCTATCTATACGTATTATTGTACACATACATACGGGTAGCACGTATGTATATGCCCACACACTTGACAAGAAACACGCACAAAACCTCGAAGACACCCTTTTGAAGCACCGTGTTTTATATATAGTATTATAGCGAATACGTATATGGTAGCAGTAGTAGTAGTGGTGGTAGTAGTAGTAGTGGTAGTCATGGTAGTAATAGTAGTAGTACGCAATAGTATATTAGTAGGTGAGTGCGCGAGCGCGCCAACTGCTACGTCCCCGCTTTTTCCCGTTCAGCGAAACAGTACGTGTAGTAGATGTAACGAAGAAAGTGACAGGACAATGTGTGCATATCGCCCGCGCCAAAGCAAGTTTCTCAGGTGGGGGCGGGGCGGTGAGGGGGGGCC